CGTTTCAGGGCCCCCATGTCTGCCGCCATCTTTCTTTTCAATTCATCTTGCTCTTTCACGCGATCTTCCAGAGCTTGAGGGTCAATCCTCCGCCTTTGCCTGTCAGGACTTTGAGAACGAGAGTGACGGGGGCTGTTAGTTCGCCTCCCCCTAGTATCCCTCCTGGTGTTATGTCGTTGGGGCTCCAAGTCCGCCATAGGAGGGACAGAGGGTAATCCTTCACGCCTTGCGCCCCCATCTGGAGTTAGCCCGTCGACGACGGACTGCGGCAATTCTTCAATATGTGCCATTGATCGTAAAGGGGAGAAGCTTTAATCAAGAGGTTTTGTTCTGTCTGTTTTTCCCACAGACGGCGCCAATTGTACAGGGAAGAAATAATTCTCCTCGTATAATCCTGTTGACTAAGTCCACGCTCCTCCGTACGACGTCGCTTTGTCACCTGAAAACACAAACGTGAGCTAGCCGGCGGGTGTGTGCCGGAAACCTCTCCGATGCCTAAGTCAGCAAACTTGACAAATAGACAAAGCTCAATGTATTCAGAAAGCAAAAATTGTATGTTGTGTGTTACCTCCTCCAAGGTGATGTTTGTGAGCTTTTATAGGTTTCGAGTGGCACAATCCTAGTAGGACTTTTATTCCTCCATGCAGAGTCCTCCTAGGATTCATACTCCTAAAGGATAATGCTTATCCTTTACACCCCCCCACTGCTTAAACCAAGTGGGATGGTTTTTACCACGGTTGAACTACCATATGACCGAAATACCTGCGGCTATACCAAGCCACAAAATAAGCCGTACTATCATTGCTTCGGTTGTCTCTCCTTACACCTTATCTCGGTTCTCCCTTGTATGAACCATGGGGTGTTGGGACCGAGCTACCGAGTAGCAAGGTCCTGACCGATCTATTCAGAATACGTTATGACCGGACTAACTCGGAGACCGGACTAACTCCAAGTTGTCCAGACCGAAGTAACTTAACAACTTTTCTGGGCCGGAGTAACTTTATCATTCTTGGGCCGGGGTAACTTTATCTTATCTTGGGCCGGAGTAACTTTTCGGCCTTTTGACCCTGTCCTTCATACTTTGGGCCATAAAGTCCATCTCATAGCTCGGCCCATTTTTTACCAAAAATTACCCTATCAGATTGTAAACACAATAAAATAGGAGGGCATTCATGTCTACATGTTTTTTTTATAAGATCTCTTCCATTATAATAAGACTAGCACATCACCCGTGCTATGCACGGATTGTATTTACAATTATCTACATATGTGAATTGTGATTTTTAAACGTTTTTTTTTTTTTTTTTAAATGTCGTCTTTTTTTTCTTTTTTTATATTATGTTAAAGTTTAATATTTTGATAATAATCATATGTATTAGACTTTTCAAGGAATTAAATGTCTTCTTTTTCTATTATATTATATTAAAGTTTAATAATTTGATAATAATCATATGTGTTGGACTTTTTCAGAATTTTTTTTTATACTTGTTCTTAATGCATTAAAATGTTATTATGATGGATAATAATCATATATGTTGGGACTTTTCAAGGAATTCATATGTGTTGGATTTCAAAGAATTTTTTTTATACTTGTTCTTAATGCATTAATGTGTTATTATGAGGGTAAGACTTGGAAGTTGGGAGAAGTTAATAAATACTAAGGTTTTATTTTTTTAAAAAATAAAAAAATCAGGAAATTTAGATAGGGATATTGGAGCTCCCACAAAACTTATGGGTTAGAGATAGATATAAATAAATAGATAGATATAGATATAGATATCTATATTTGTTTTAATTTTTTTTAATATACAAATTATTTGTTTTGGAAAAGGTACTGCAGTAAT